AGAAAGGGCAGCTTCCCATCCTTTTCCATCTCGTAAGTGAAACGCAGCACGGAACTCTGCTCAAATGCCTCCTTCAGCTCCTGCAGATGTCTGACATCAGGTACCTGTGTAAAAATGTCGTTAACATACCTGCAGTATATGGCCGGTTTCAAGTTCATGTCGACTAAGACTTTTTGCTCGATGGTACCCATGTAGAAGTTTGCAAACAGGACACCTAGGGGAGAACACATGGCGACCCCATCTACTTGCTTATACATGTGCCCATCCGGGCTCAAGAAGGGTGCCTCTTTAGTACAAGCTTGGAGTAGTTTCCTCAGAATATTTTCTGGTATGTCAAGAGGAGTACAGGCTGGATCACGATACACTCTGTCTGCTATCATTCCGATTGTCTCGTCCACAGGTACGTTGGTAAACAGCGATTCTACGTCCAACGAGGCTCTTATCCCTGTGGCCCGTGTGCCGCGCAGTAAGTCAACAAATTCCTTTGGAGACTTCAGGCTGAAGGCGCAAGGAACATAAGGAGTCAGCAGGCCGTTGAGTCGCTTCGCCAGTCTGTACGTGGGTGTGGGTATCTGGCTAATGATTGGCCGAAGTGGGATATATATATATATATATATATATATATATATATATATATATATATATATATATATATATATATATATATATATATATATATATATATATATATATATATATATATATATATATATATATATATATATATATATATATATATATATATATATTTAAGATAAATAGGAAAACCAGGGATATACTGAACATCTTGTTTCAGAATCTTTACTTTAAAATGCATAACGTTTCGAATACTTCTCGTATTCATCATCAGATCTAAAAGAAAAACCGAAATCACAATCAAATAGCTGGTAAACAAAGAACTCATACTGAATATAATTGCCTATCAAAGAAAGGAAAATGCTTAAAAAACAAAACACTTAAGCGCACTTAAAGTGATCAATACAAATAAAACTTATTAACTGTCACATATATTAAAACTAATTTATATATATATATATATATATATATATATATATATATATATATATATATATATATATATATATATATATATATATATATATATATATATATATATATATATATATATATATATATTACGAATTAGAGGGAATGTTTAGGACCCCACCAATACAGTTTGTGTGTGCTTTTCTCCTACCATCCCCTTCCTTTTGTCTTTTTTTGTGGGTTATTATTTATTTAATGGTTACGAGACATACATGGTTGACACAAAAAGTGCTTAAAGGTTAAGGAACTATTGAAAAACACGACAATGGGAAACATAGATTAATGTCACAGACAGGCTTGATCATTGTTGCAAGTCAAACACTTCTTCAAATTTCTCGGAAGTTGCACTAGTGCCCTAGACGCAACAGGCATTCTCCCTCTGAATCCCAACACTGAGGCACTGGAACAAGAAACTTTTTGCTCTCTAGTCCTTTGTAGCGCCAATCAATTTGTCCCCCCAATTCCTTCAGCAACTTCAGTGCACATTTTCCCCACGAACCGAGGGTCTCCGAGCCGATCGGAACTAAGCTGTAGCAGTGTGCCAGACCTCTGTATTTGATAATTTTCTGCAATTCTCTGAAAGAAGCAATGCCACCCCCTTCACATGTGCTGTGGTGGAGGTAGCTACAGGCCAGTGTGGCAGCGGGCATGTACTCTCACACAACTTGCTTATCATCCTTCTAAGGAAGCAAGGTGGCCCAATCTGGGCGCTTCTGAGGGTCGTTGGGTCTGAATAAGTGTGGTTCTCTTTGTGCTGGGTAGTGGGCCGTGGCGAGGCTCCTCTTGATGATGTCGTTGACTTCTTCATGTCTTGCAATCTTACCCCGTAATTTACGACATACCAGACCATGATGACCATGTTGGTCTGCCATCGCAGTTCCGCAGATGCACCTATGTTTGGTGAGGATAGGGGCGGCAAGGCGAAGGGCAACTCCAATGCGGAGAGCGTCATGATTGAGGCGAGTTCCCAGGGCTGCATTGGGTACAGCAGATAAAAACTCCTCGGCATGGTGTGCTGTTACCGCTAAGAGGCGGGCTTTGTTTTCAGCATCTGAGTTTTCAGTCACTGTTGTGACATCTTTTTCATTATGGGGCTATCCCAATGGGCCTGCTTGTGGTCTTTTGGGGCTTGTGGTCGGGGTAGGGGTGTGAAATGGTTTTCCACTGTCTGGCCACGATTAACGTTTGCTTATGAGTTCTCGGTGTGTTTCTCATACGCTCAGGAAGGATCTGCCCTACTAATTCGTTGGCTGCTGTACATGAAGCTAAGAATGCTGGAAGTGCTAACTCAGTTGCCTTTCGTATGCCTATCCCTCAAAATCTCACTGGTAGTGTTGCTTGGTCCCACTGACTGTCATCTAAATCTAGATTGAGTGCCTTCCTGAATATTGACCTGAGGAGCTCACCATATTGATTT